CCATTCGTGTGATGCGCATAGCTCGTGAGCGTGTAATGGGATATGCTATTCAGGGGCGGTGTGTAATGCGGGCGTCCGACATTTCATCGTTTCTTGACGTCCGAGATTCTTGGATGGAGAGTTACATTGATCATAGGGTGGACCACGGCCCTGACTTAATGAAGAGAGACTCCTACGAACTCGATCTGAAGATAAGGAGCTCTGTTAGGAGTCCCGATCTGCTTGAAACATTAATTTCACGTAGAGTGCAAAGGCGCCTGGATCCATCTGATCGCTAGGCGCGGACAGCGCGTTTATTCGGCAGGTGATGGGGCGCCCGCTGATGGCCAATTTCAGGGCGCAGATACGGCTGACATAGTAGTGGGTTCGCCCAATCAGACCACCGTTCCGGTTCCGACGACGGACCCCGCCGAGCCAGCTGAAGAACCAGCTCCCGAACCGGTTGCAGACATCCGACCAGCGGGTCCGACTGGAGCGAGGGATCGCGATTCCAAGTGGGCCGAGAGCAGCAGCTCAGCTGCTGCTCCCGCGCCAGCCAATCCCACGAGTGCTGCTCCGCATCCTTGGCCTCCTCCTCCTGCGCCTCCTTCGCGGGGGCCCGCGACGGCTGCTGCCTCTGATGGGCGCCCCCTGGCGGCTGCTGCGGCGGTTGCTGCGGGCGAGCCAATGCTGGCTGCCGTGTCTGATGGGCGCTCGCTGCGCGAGGGTGCCCGGAGGGCGCCCTGGCGGCCCGCGCAGGAGCGGAGGGCGAGGCCAAGGAGCAGGGGCCCGAACGCAGAGCGAAGGGCTGCCGAGTCGTTGCCACCGCCGTTATGGACAAGTGCGGCACCGTGGCTAAAGCAAGTGCACGATCATCAGAAGTGGATGGAGGGTGGCGCATCGAGCAGTCACTCGACAAGAGACAATGACCACAGTGGGCAGTGCCAGCGATGGGGTCGTAGGGAGGATAAGCGCGATGAGACATGGGAGTGGTGTCAAAAGAAACATTGGTCGGGACATGGGCAGCGGTTACAGAAGGGAGACGCATTTCGTAATGTGCGAGGTGCAGCTATGATGCTGATAGACGCCTAGCTTCATGTGCGCTGCGTGGAGAAGAGAAACGGGGCGCGGCTTCTGTGCCTGAGCTTCAACGTCCACTGCTGGGCATGAGTGCATTATTTGTGGGGTGCGTCGGCCCGCTTCTATTTTATTCTTGAGGATGCCATCGTTAGCAATGGCACTCTTCCCTCGCGCGCCCGAAGCGTTTTTTGGGGAGCGCGCCGGGGGGGGGCCAATGCGGCTTCGAGGGTGCTTGGAAAACGCGGAACCTTCCAGGCTGGGTTGGTGGCTTGGGTCTACGCGGCCTGCCGCGGGGGGAGTCGTTAATGCTCTCTCCCCGCTCGCACCGCGCCGCCCTCGGCTGCCGACGCCGTTGCTCCGCGGCAATCGCGCGAGGCTCAGGGCGGCCGCGCGCCGCCTGGGCGCGGGAGACGGTGAGAGGAGTTAGTCTTGCTTTCTTTCATCTTTTCTTACTTCTTTTCCCATCATTCCTGTGTGTTCATATCATTGTTTAGCGGATCCATCATGGGCTGTCAGACCCATGACGTACCGACATCAATCAATCCCATTTTCGCCGGGAGTAGTGATTCTCTTGCGAATGACTGGCGAGGAGGAGGGTGGAAAAGGGGGGGCTGCTGCTAATGGTAGGAGGGGGATGATTTTTTAATGCGTTTGGGGGGTAACACACCCGTAGCGGTGACGCCGGGAACGCCTACAATAATGCGGTTTTATTCCTTCTGCTGCCACCCTTCGCAGACCCCTCCCCGGGTAACATTTGCCAAACAGTATTTCCACTAGGAACTCCTACTGATCACTAAGGAATTGGATCGGTCCGGCGAGGATTTTCCGCGTTGCCGTCACTGGCTGCGTCGTGGCCGCCGCGTGTGCTGGGTGTGACCGGCGAGGTTTCGCCGCGTTGCCGCCCGTGGCCGCCAGGTGGCCGCGTCGTGCGCTAGGTTGGTCCAGTGAGGTTTCGCCACGTTGCCGCCCGTGGCCGTCTCGTGCCCATTTCGTGCGTTGGGTGGGTCTGGCGAGGTTTCGCCGCGTTGCCGCCCGTGGCCCCCTCGTGGCCGCCTCGTGCGCTGGTGGGTCGGCGAGGTTTCGCCACGTTGCCGCCCGTTGCCGCTTCGTTGTCGCTTCCAGCTTGCACCACGTAGATTGCACTACGCGGTTTATGCCACATATCTTGCACCACGGGGCGTGCACATCCACAGTAGAATGTGTTATTGTTTGGTGTCCACGGTGGCTAACATGTGCTATTCCCAAGGAACAAACATATTATAACTAGATTTGAACCAGGTGATCGGAGAAGAGAACCAGGACATCCTTGAACAAAACAGGGAACTTCGAAGACAGTACAGGAATCAACCCAGTTGTTTTGTTGTTTTCGGTTTCCCCGTCTCCGAATCTTCCGTTTCGTTGTCGGGCTCTCTGAGCTCGTTATCGGAATCTCTCGGCTCACGTCTCCGGCTTCCTGCTTGCGCCTCCTGTCTTTGGTGTTGCACACTTTTTGGCCCTGGTGCAGGCCGACTAAGCCGAGTGCGCGCGCTCAAGTGCGACGAGCTTGCAAGACTCGCTCTGGGGCCGGCGATAAAAAGGCCACTGTGCGACAGCCCGGCGCCGCGCTTCCCGACAGGGGAGAGAAAGGAGGGGGAGGAGGGAGAGGAGGGTTAGGAAGAGGAGCCCCACTTTGCTGGACCTCCCAACCCAAGGGCCCACGACAGTGGCAACAGTCGTGCAGTTCGCAACCCCGCGGGGAAGGCCAGGTCTCGTCTGGGTCCCCACGCGACGTCAATCCACTGGACCTCCCAGGGCCCAAGAAAGTGGCGACCGCGCAGCTCGCCGCCCCGCGGGGAGGACGAGGTCTTGTTTGGGCCCCCGCAGGATTTCATTCTGGTGGGCCTCGAGGAGCCCACGAAAATGGCGACATTTGTGCATGTCGCAGGGGGGATGAGGGACGAGGGGGCGAAGGATGGGACGTTGGAGAAAGCACTGCTACATTCAAGACGCGAACTTCATACAGGAGGTTTTGGAAAGTGTGTGTGTGTGTGTGTGTGTGTGGTGTGCGTGTGTGTATGTGTGGCCCGGGCCGTCGCCGCTCTAGCTCGTGCGCGTCAGGACGTCCCCAAGGCCGCCATTATGTTGTTCGCAGTCTGAAACCTGGATTGCACTTCTCGTCGCTTGAGATACCTAGTCGTCCCGTTCCTGGACGCCTATGCTGTCAAAGAGCCTGCTTTCCCGCGTACTGGGCATCGGAAGCGCACGTGGATGGACCGACGCCGCGGCTCGGCCGCTTCCGCGGTCCCCGCTGCCCTTCGTGGCCGCGCCAGCGCGCTCGGGGTGGAGCTCTTCCACATCTGAGTGCCCTCCGCCCCTCCCCCTCTCTGCGGCCGCCTCGTCTGTTTTCCTCCGTGCTCGTGCGTGCTGGTCAATTCGACTTTCAGTTGCCACGAATCGCTTCTCGCTGGTGCAGTGTACCTCTGCCTCGCCGCCGACGGAAAAGTTTATGTGCGTGCGTGTGTTTGAATTTGTGTTGGGACCTGTTAGTGCGTAGGCTGTTTATGTCGTGGTTGTGTTGCTCTCAGCAGTGTGCTAAGAGGTGTCGTTGATGCTTGCTTCTTGCAGCAGGGGGACACCAATAATTCCATGCAGACATCAGATGTTTATGACCACTGCGGTTTAATTCCCTCAGTCTGTTTCTGTGTTGCCTTTCCCCATGCCCCCCGCCCATCACCATATTTTTTTCTCTTTCTCTCTCCCTGTGTCTCTCTCTCACTCTCTCTTTCTCTCTTCCTCTACCTCTCTTTATCCCCCTTTTCGCCCTCCTGACTCTCTCCATATGTGTCCGTCTGTGCGTCGGTCTGTTTGTCTGTCTGTCTGTCTGTCTGTCTGTCTGTCTGTCTGTCTGTCTGTCTGTCTGTCTGTCTGTTCTGTCTGTCTGTCTGTCTGTCTGTCTGTCTGTCTGTCTGTCTGTCTGTCTGTCTGTCTCCCTCGGTTCTTCCGCTCCTCATATCAATTTCACCTTTCCCCCATAACCATTCAATCATTTATGTGGGCTCGCCCCATCTCGTTCAATCTCTGTATATTGTATGTTTTTTTTCTGTTTGCAAGCGAAGAAATGGTCCATGCCTCTCTGCGCTGTCCAGCCTTTCTTCCGGCTCCCATCCTCCCCCGTCCTCGTCCTCCTGCCCTTCCTTCTCCCTTTCCTCTTTCTCCCCCTCCTCCCCCCTTGTCCGAGAGCAACTTCATCGAGGTCAGGGCTTTCAAAGACACAGGAGTTCGGGGATGTCGCAGGGTTCGAGGCGAGCTTCGCGCGCCAACCCAGTAAACGCACCTGCGCCGCAAACGGGTCCAATCCAATCCAATCCAATTCTCCTCCACGCTTCCTGCTTCCCTAGCGCGAAAGCTGGTTCAGACGATCCTGAGGGTGATTTGGAACTTCGGGTTGATTGGATCAAACGCGTGACAGGAGAAGCAAGAGACAGAGTACGAAAGCTTAGTCTACATGGAGGGGTCGGTTGACACAGAGACGCTGCCAGGGCTTGGCTCCGACCCGTGCGCGGAGAAGAACAGTGGTCGGCACGCCGCGCATTCAGTTTGGAGCCGGTGCGCCTGGTCAGGCGGCCAGTTTGGCCCCGGAGGCGCTGGACGGGGCACGTCTGGGGGGGCTGGTTCCCCACACCCGAACGGGACGGCCTCGTGCCCATGGGGCGCGCTCGCTCGCTCGCTCGCTCGCTGCGTCCCCACTCCCGCCGCGGCCAGCTTGGTAAGCAAGCCCGCGCTGCACACAGGTCCAATCCACTCCAATCCTCCCCTTCCTCTACTCCTGCCTCCCTGCGTCGGCGTCAAGCTCGTGACGCCGCCGACGTCGACGATGGCGAGGACGTCGACGACGAGGACGAGGACGACAAAAAAACCCTTGACGTCGACGACGCCGTCGACAACAACGACGAGCTCGCCAGGGCGCCTGGCAGCAGGCAGGGCGACCCTCCGCGCGGCTGAGGCTGCCGCCCCCCTGCCTTGGCGGCCGCCCCCCCGAGGGCAAGGGGGCGGAGCGGACCGCACGCCCAGAGCGCCGCTGCTGGTCGACCCCGTGGCCCTGGCCGACGGGCCCCGTGAGGTCGTTGCCGCCGCCGCCGCCACCGCTCGTCGGTGGTGCTCGTCGTCGTCGTCGTCGTCGTCGTCGTCGTCGTCGTCGTCGTCGTCGCGGGGTGGCGACGAAAAGGAAAAGGAGGAGGAGGAGGAGGAGGAGGAGGAGGAGGCGGAGGGGGAGAGGGGAAGGGGAGGTGGAGGTGAGAGTTCGGGAGTTGCAGAACGGAGAGTTTCACGAGGCAGGGGCCGCGTGCTGGGGAGTGCCCTCTTTCTTTCTTTCTTTCTCTCTCTCTTTCTCCCTCTCCTTTTTTCCCTTCCCCTGTGTTTGCTTCCCATTTGGGCTCAAGTCTCTCTCTGGCGCGGAGGCGGCCGCCGCGGCTGCGGCTGCCAGGCGGCCTCGCCGGGCCGCTGACCGGCAGAGGAGGCGGGCTGGCATGCGGAGGCCGGGACCCAAATTCAAGGGTCATCCTGGGGGCGTTGGTTTCCTACGGGCAAGAGGCGGGCGCAGAGGCGCCAGCTCCATTCTGGCGGATGGTCAGGCGCAGCACGGGCCCCGAGGACTGGCGGCGCGAGCCCGGCTAGCGGTCAGGTGGAGGATCCAAGAGTGAACATGACACTGCCAACTGCCAATGGTCTTTGGCGCTTTGGCGGCCGCGGTTCGTGTGGAGGCAGCAACACCAGCGGTCCCGCAGGCGTGGGGGGAGGATGGGCCCTTCAGCCTGTATGAGGTGGCGTGTGGGATTGCTGGAGGCGCCCGAGCCGGGGATGGGAGCGCCGCGGAGCTGCTGGCCCTGGCCCGCAGACAGGGCGGGATGCCGGTGGCCGAGGGGCCCCACAGGAGCCCCCCCGCGGCCCAGTTCGGCCTGCTGCGGGCAAGGGCCAGGCGCCGCCCAAACCCCCGCCCGAGAAACCATCTGGGGGTAAGGGTCGGGCGAGTTCGCCCCCGCAACTGCGCGAGGACGAAGTGGCGGTCCCAGAGCAAGCGCCGAGGATGAGGAGGCGGCGGCTAGCGGAGGAGGGTGGTTCATTCGACGTCGTAGAGAATCTCGACCAGTGGGTTCTCGCCGTCCGACCCCATAACCGTTGCCACCAGCAGGGTCCGAGGAAGACGAGGAGCAGCAGGAGGAAAACTGGTGGGATGTCCAGTGCGTGGGGGTCACCGTCGTCGGCAGTTGGTTTGGGGGCTACACTGGAGAGCGGGATCCCGACGGGTGGCGACGTTTCTGGGCAGGAGGAGGAGGAGGTCTGCTCGGAGGAGCGTTCACCGCTGCTCGCGCTGATGGCGGGCTTGGTTGTCGGAGTGGGCTGCGGGTTGCGATCGATCATCGCGGCCGTGGACTATATGGTCGCGAAGCCTCTCATGACGGTTGTGTCCCCCGTGCCGTGGGTGTACGGCTTTTGTTCGTTTCCTGCGTCGGCTCGACCTGTCGGCGAAGGGGGGGAAGGTGCTACGCCGGAGCCGCGGGGGCCAGGTGCCTCGATCCCGGTCGATGGTGCTCTCTGCGCCCAGTTGCGCGCCCGGGGTGCTAGTGGGAAGGCGCGCCGCCTGGCCATGGCGGTCGGCGACGCGGCGGCCCGTTGTGAGCGCCCCTCCTGAGAATGGGGGTGAAGCCCAAGAGGTCAGGGTGCGCGTGGCAGTGCAGCGCAGTCCTCGTCTCGACGTCGAGACGGCCGAGGGCTTTGTCGGGGTGGTCGCAGGATGAGACTTTCCACCTGCGCCGCGAGGCCCCGTGCGCCGATGGAGAAATTGCGCGGTGCACGTGCCGTCATGCGGCTGCGTGGCCGAGGGGACTGGCGCCAACCTGGAGGCCTTGGGTGCCCTGCCCTCCCCCTTGTTGGGCTGCGCGGGCGGTGGGTGCCGGCGCGGGGCGTTGGGGGTGCGACGGCGTGCCAAGCTGTGCTGTGGGAGGATAGGGCGTCGATCGCGGAGGCCATTCTCGGGCCCGCCGGCAGAGCTCTTCCAGGGCCCCGACTCGGAGTCAGCATTCGGGTTCGAGGAGGCCAAGTGCGCGGCCCACGAGGTGCTCTACCAGGAGGGGGACAGGATCTACCAGCTGATCAAGGAGCAGTGAAAACAGATACCGTGCAACTACTCCGTGAGGAAAATGGGATGTCGAATCTCTCCAGACATGATCGGGTCGTAAAAAATCAAGACTGGAGGGTTATCGCTCTTTTCGGCCTGGGGGCCCTCGCCGGGCCTCGGGGCCGTCGGAAAACGATTCAGGGTGAAAAGCCAGCACCAGAGAAAGGGTCGGCACTTCCAGGGGCGCCACTTCCAGGGGCGCCGTCCTGGAAAAATCAGGACGTCGCATGTCTGGGTCAGGGGGGCGTCGGTGCGGCTTGCCTCTGCCGGCGGCGCGGCGGCGTGTGCCCGGCCAAGCGCGGGGTCCAGGAGTTCGCCCGTCTCGGTTGCGCGCGCTTGGGCCGGGCCATGCGGGGCGGGGCGTTGCCCCGCCCGTGCCGCGGCGACGCCGGAGTCGTGCGATTTGCCCCGTGCGGCGGCCCGAGGACTGGCCGAGAAGCAGCGCCGGGCAGCGATGGGGGGGCGAGAGAGGGAAGACGACGACGCCCCGAAGCCCGAGCACGGGGGGGCCGCATGCAGCGGAGGAGGCTGGGAGGTGCCCGCGGGGGAGGTCGAGGCCCCCTTGGGCACTTTCGCAGGAGGCGAGGTTCCAGGGGCCGGCGGCGCACCCCCTGGCGCCGCCCCGGTCGCCGCGGGCCGACCCCGTTCGGGCGGAGCTCGGGATGCTGGCTAGCCGAGCGGCGGCCGAGACATGGGGGCGAAGGGGCCTGCGGCGCTGGGCACCAAGTGCCTGGCAGGGGGGCCATTTCTTCATCGCGCCCCCTCGACTCCAGCCGCCGGAAGGTTTCGACGACCCGAGCGAGGCGTGCGACGCCATCGGGCAGTCGCTGGCGGCCCGCCGCCCCGAGTGCGGTTCCTTCATGGAGGCGGAGGAGCCGAGCTAGGGGCCCGAGGGGCCCGGGGGGCATCGTCGACGAGCGTCGAGGGGTAAGTCAGGCGCCGGTCCGCGAGGAGTGTTGGATTGCCGCCTCGAGGGCGCCCGTTGCAGAGCCACTCCTGACCTCCCGACTCAAAGGGCGTCCCGTCCGCCTTGGAGGCGGAAGTCGGGGGGCGACGCTTGTCGCTCGAGCAGGGCCGGCGGGGCCCGCCTGGTCTCGGTCGATCGCAGTCGCGCCGCGTGGGTCCGGGCGCGGTCGCCGGCGCCGCTGGCGGGCCCCCCGGGCGTCGGCCGCCCGGCCCCTGTCCCGTTGCCGCTGGCGGCCGATCGGGCGCGGGCTGATGGCGGGGGCCAGCTCGGACGGAGGGGGTGGAGAGCGCGGTCGATGCGGCGCCGAGGAGATCTGGCGCTCAGGGGGGCGAGGCCCGCCCTTTCGGACCGCAGCTGCCAGCTTGTTGGCCGAGATCGCACACTGCGCGGATGTTCGGACTCCGCGAGATCGGAGGAGAAGGTAGGTCGGATCGGCTCACTGCAGTCGATCACCAGGGACGACGAGTTGAGGGTGTTGGCAGCACGGGGTGGCGGGCGCTGCAGGGTCGCGATCTGCCCGGGCGACTTCGGGCGGTCCTCCGTGAGGGCGCTGCTCCGCGCGGCGGGGCGTTCGGCCGCCCTCTGCGAGCGCCGCGAGTGGCCCGCCCGCGCGAGCCAGGATTGCGCGCGGGATCGCCGCCTGCTCGTGAGGAGAGAAATCGGTGGACACGTTGGCGAGCTGGTCATTGGGCGTGGCCGATTAGGTCGCGTTCCCCCAGGAGACTATGGGCGACGTGCCCCCGGCAGAGCACGAGATGGCGGCGCGGCCCCGGCAGCCCGCGGACGCGAGCAAGTTGGCCAAGTGGGCCCGCGCGTGGATGAGGGTGGCCGGCTCGGTCTGCCGCGGGGTAGCCGCAGAAGTGCGTGAGTCGGTGCGCGCAGGATGCCCGGGGGAGCTCGACACCAGGTGGCGGGGGGGGCTCGCGTGGAGGGTTGAGGAGGTGCTGCGGGTCTGCGACGGATCAGCCTCGCATCGGCGATTTCCTTTCGCTGCCCTCGCCCCCGCGCAGACGGGCAGCCCCCTTATCGACCTGCCGGGCGCTTTCGAGCTGGACGGCGCCGACGGGCGCTGCCAGGCGGTGGCCCTCGCGCGGTTGGGGCGCCAGGCTCGGGCCCAGAAGGCGCACTGGTATAGCGTTCGCTGGTCTCAATTTCGACCCTTGGCAGCAGGTGGGGCCCCGGGAGGGGGCGGCGGCGCCCGGGGTGGCGGAGGCGGCGCAGGGCCCATCAACCAAGGGGCGCGGGTGGCAAGAGGGCTTGGGCAGGGGGGGGTACCGGCGGAGGGTCGAGGGCGTTGCCTCCTTAGGAGGTGCTGGAGACCTTAGCCCAGGAGGAAGTGGCGCTCTCCCTCGAACGCGGCCCGCGCGATTCGAATGGGGGGCGGGGCGCGTCGCGCCATGGCGGCTGCCTCAGGGCGGCCGCGACGCGCGCGCCCGCGAGGGGAGAGATTGGGCGGGGGGGGGGGGGGGGGGGCGGGGGGGGCTGCCCAGCGCGAGCGTGTAGGTCCCCCGGTTAAGCAGGGCCCCTCTTCGAGGAGGGATTGAACCCGTGCGCCCGCGCCGCCGAGTCGGCCGTCGGAGCGCGAGGCGGAGGGCGGGGCCGAGGCGAGGCGCGCTGGGGAGACGGGGGTTGCCGCGGGCAGCGCGGCAGCTCTCGGTCAGGGCCGGAGCGCGGCCGCGGAGCTTCGGGGGCGTGGTCGAGCTGGGGTCGCCTGCTTGAGGGCGCTGCGGGGGGCCGGGCAGGAGGGGCGCTGAGACCATCTTGGGGGCGTCCGCGTGGCGAAGTTTGACGGCCGAATCGAGGCAGAGAATTTGTCGTGCCTGCGGGGGGTGGCGCGCCGGGGAGTGCCCGTGAGACGCGATGGGGCGCCGGTCCGAATGCGGGCCAAGCCGCGCGCGTCGTCGGCGGAGCGCCAGGATGAGGCAGGATGGTCTGGGAGGACGTCGTGAAGGGTGGGGCGTGGCTGGCGAGCTCAAGCCGCCGCGGCTTGGAGGGCATCGTGGGGCCCCCGAGGGGGGGCAGAGATGTTGCCGGGCCGCAGTGTAGCGCCAGACGGCCGTTTCATGAGCAACATGGGAGAGGCGAATCAAGGCCGCGACAAGACGCCCCACCCGCCAGCGAAGCTGCCGGGGCACCTGGAGGTGGCGAGGCAACTGTTGTGGTGGAGTTTCCAGTGTCCGTAGGTTCGGGTCTGGTTGGCCAGGCGGGACTTCGCCAGCGTTCAAGGTGCTCCGGGGGGAGACGCCGGGGCTCTGGATCATGGGGGTGTCCCTGCTGGCGGGGGGGGCCGGCGAGAGCGCGGCGGTGGTCTACCTCGCTGTGGTGCTCGGTTGGGCGGGGGCGCCGGGGGAGTGGGCGGCGCGGGGCCGGGGCGCGCGGGGCGCGCGCCAGGCTCGCCGCCCTCCCCGAGAGGAGCTTCGTGACGTGGTGCTGTGCGCGCGCGAGGTGCTGGTGGGCGACGGGGCCTTGGTGGGGCCGGCGTTGGGCGCGAGGCCGTGGCTGTCAGCCTGGTCTTTGATTCCATGGGCAGGCGGGCCCGCGGGGGCGCGGCGGAATAGAATGGGAATGGGGGTTCACCGCCGAAAAGCCGACGCGGGGCCTGCTCTTCCACCAAGAGGATGGAGATGGGGTGTTCGCGGGCAGGGCGACGCTCCCAGGGGCGTGGATCCAGAAGATGGGGCGCGTATTTCAGGAAGAGGAGCTGGCGCAAGGCTGGCGCCGGGTCATGTGGCGCACGGTGCAGAAGCTGAGAGGCCCGGCTCGACCGACCTGATGGTTGCCCAGCCGGAGGGCCCCAGCCAGTGGACAGGACCGAGAGGTATGGGGCGGGAACAGGAGGGCGGTCGCGTGGCAGGAGTTCTGGGACACTCTGGACATCCTCCGTTGGTGACTGCGTGCCTGGAGGCCTGGGGGAGCAGCTTCCTCTCGTTGTTCGCGGGCATGCTGTGGCCCAGGGAGAGGTTGGCCGCCCTGGGGGCCACGGGGCAAGTGGCGTGGATTGGGGGGGGCGCGACGCCCGCGGCCTCAGGCCGGATCGACTGGGCGGCGAAGGCGTGCGCCCTCTAGGGGGTGGCCCCCGATCTGCAGGCCTTTCAGGAGGTTGCGGATGCCGGGGGTGAGCGGGTCATCGTCGCGCTTGCCGAGGGGGGAAAGAAGGCCCGCGACCGCTTGGGCCGCGCCTTCATCCGCCCCCTCAACTACTTTGAGGCCGCAGTGCACTTCGCGATCGACGAGATGGCGGACGTGCTTGCCCGCGCGTCCGAGCAGGATGTCGAGGCGAGTTTGGGCCGCGAAGGGCTCGGGGAGGCCGCGGGGGGTCCGCGCCGTGGCGCCTGTGGGCGCGGCGGAGTGGCAGATCGCGATGCAGCTTGTGTCTAGGTGGCGGGGCCAGGGGGGGGGGGGCGAGGCGCGCGCGTGTCATCGTCGCTCGGGCGGGCCCCGATGCGAAGAGGTCCAGAGCTGTGGCGACGCCTGTGGTGACGCAGACGGGCGTGAGAGGTGGGCCTGTGTAGGGCGCCGTGGATCCGACCGAGGTCATGCAGGTCGGCGGCCATGAAGGTCAACTGCTTGGTGCGTGCAGGGGGCCTGCCGTCGCCCGCTGGGGGGCTCGCGGGGTGCGTGCAGGGGCCTGCCGTCGCCCGCTGGGGGGCGGTGAAGCGGGTGGCTCGGTCTCTGCTTGGATCACTGCGTCAGGTTAGGGTCTGGGGGCGAGCCCCGCGGAGGCGTCGGGGCGGCTGCGGCGACTCGCGCTTCGCCGTGCAGACATCTAGGAGGAATAGCGCCAGCTGGGCATTATATTTTCGGCCAGGGGAGCGCGACCCGGATCAGCGTGGCGTTGAACGCAGGGGGGGCCGGTTATTGGGGCTTAGTGGAAACAGGCAGTCGCATGAGTGGACTTCGATCGTTGGCGGGGGATGGATTTGAATCCGGACCGCGTTTGCTTGCAGGCGGCGCGGCCGCCAAGGGCATCTTCAGCCGTCGTGGCGCAGGCCCGATCCGTGGCATCGATGTGGCTCTGCTGTGTTCCACAGACTTTCTCAGCTGTTCAAAGCGCGCGGCGACCGCCACGTCGGCGCGACGGCGATCTAGGCACGGTCGCGCATGCTGAAGCTGCTTGCCTAGATCGGCATAAAATTCAGGGGTTGAGCGGCTCGATCGCTCTCCGAGCTGGCGCGTGGCGCCAGGCGGCGGCCGTGGCCGGGCGGAGGCGTGAGTGGCATGCGCGCGTGTCTTCCTCGATGTGGGGTCCGTTGATCCCGCGTTCCGCTCTGCACGGGATGCTGAAAAAGGGCCAAATACAAGAAGAAATGAGGTGCGCCGAGAGGCCAGAGAGTGAGCGTCTCAGCGCGAGGGGCCTCTTCGCACATGGGGGCAGCACCGCGGGGACTTGTAACAAACCAGACTGCGACCGTCTAGGTTGCCTCTGTGCACTCTCTCTCTCTCTTTCCCTCTCTCTCTCTTTCCTTCTAACTCTCTCTCTCTCTCAATTTTAGCCGTTTGGGGTCAATGCTGTTCTTGGAGCCGAGTGGAAAAAACACTTGCGGCGAATGCGTGGGGCGCTAAAGCGAGATGCGCATTTTGTGAACTACGCGTGCCCCAACCGTGTAGCAGCTGCAAGCTTTCAAGACGAATGTGCGCGGCAGTGTGGCAATAACCACATTTGGACAACGACTTTTGTTTCCTCCATGCAAATATATTTTTACTACAAGGACGAATGAGCGCGGCGCTGAAAGGCGAGAGCCACGTTTTGAAAACGACCCCCCTCCATCCTGGTAGCAGTATTGTAGCTTCAGGATCAAAGGTTGTGGGGAAGTCTCAGGCGAAACGTTCGGCCCGCCTTGCCCACCTGAGCGTACGACAAGGGGGTACGAATCCAGAGCAGGGATTGGTTCACCGTTCGCTTTAGCCCTTCGCCCAACAGCCTGAGCTGGAGTAGTGGGCCTGGCGCAAATGGGTCGTCGGCGAGAGGTGCGTTCGTTCATTAATTGTGTATTGTTGCGTGCAACATTGCGCAACTTTTGCGGGCACAAGCGACACCTGATGCGTGTGCGAAAGGATACGAAACTGAATCCACGCGCAACTATTGCATCGTGCGCGTGAGCGTATGCGTCGAGGCAGCAACTGCTGCAAATATCATTGCGCTTTTCTCTGTGGACCCATCGGCGCCAGATCCACTACTCCAGCTTAGAAAATCAGGTCTCACTGGCGCATGGCCCTCGCCAGCCCCTGCGGCGCGGCCGCCGCGCGCGCGCCAGCGCCTCCGGCGCTGGCCGCGGGCCCCCCGCCGCGGTCGAAGGTGCAGGCGAGGCCTCCTCCGCGGGGGGGGGGCCGCTCTCAAGGGGCACCGAGGTGGAGGGGAAACGGGGAATGGGGCGGAGGGGGAGCGGAGGGGGAGAGGGAACGGAGACGGAGGATGAAGGGGGAACGGGGGAGGAGGAGGACAGAAAACGGAGAGGGAGGGAGGGACGGTGGGGGATGATGACGACGAAGACCATGACCACGACGACGACAAAGATGGTGATGATGATGCTGAGGACAATGATGATGACGATGACGATTACGATGCTTATGATGATGCTGATGATGAGGGTAATGATATTGATGATGACGATGATGATGAGGATGATGAGTAGGAGGACGATGATAATGATGATAATGGTGATGATGATTATGATGATGATGATGAAGATGATGATGCTGCGCTGATGATGATGATGCTGCTGCTGATGATGATGCTGCTGATGATGATTATATTGATGATGGTGGTGCTGATGATGATCACGACGATGATGATGATGATGATGATGATGATGATGATGATGATGATGATGATGAAGATGATGCTAATGCTGATACTGACGGTGATGACGATGATTACGAAGACGATGATGATGATGATGATGATGATATCGATGATAAAGATGATGCTGCTGATGATGATGATACTGCTGATGCTGATGCTGATGCTGATGCTGCTGCTGATGATGGTGATGATCATGCTGATGGTGATGATGATGATGATGATGATGATGATGACAATGATGATGATGATGATGATGATGATGATGATGATGATGATGATGATGATGCTGATGATGATGATGATGCTGATGATGATGATGACGATGATGATGCTGATGATTGATGATGATGCGGATGACGATGATGATTGTGCTGATTATGCGGGATGCCTGATGATGATGACAGGATTAATGATGCGATGATGATGATGATGCTGATGATGATGATGATGACGATGATGAGACGATGACGATGATGATGATGATGATGGATTGATGATGATGATGATGATGGTGCTGTGCTCATGATGATGTGATGATGATGATGGATGATGATGATGATGCTGATGATAGATTGATGATGATGATGATGATGATGATGATGATGATGATGATGCTGCTGATGATGATGATGATGGATAATGAGGATGATGATGATGATGATGATGCTGCTCTGATGATGATGAGTGTGTGATGGATGAATGATGATGATGATGATGATGATGATGATGATGATGATGAGGATGATGACGATGAATGATGGTGGTGTGATGATGATGATGATGATGATGAGGGATTGATGACGAATGATGATGGTGGTGATGAGAGGAGAGCGTGACCACCGCCGCCTTTACTGTAGAAAATGCCAAACCTTTTCCTCGGAACCCGGAGTTCTCCCCCACCTCCCCTTCCATTTACTCCCAACCCCCCTTCTCAAAAAAAAAAAAAAAAAAAAAAAAAAAATCCCCCTCCACCCCTGCTGGAACCCCCCCCCCACCCCCCCCCCCCCCCCCCCCCCCTCCCCCCCCCTTCCCCCCGGGGCAAACCCCCCCCTTCCCCTAAACCCTCCCCCCCCCCCTCCCCCTCGAAAAACCGGGGGGGGTCACTACCGGCTGGACCCCCCCCCCCCCCCCTCGAAAACCGGAGGGGGGTCACTACCGGTTCGACCCCCCCCCCACCCCCACGCACCGCCAGCAAACGACTCCCGGTCCCTACCACCGCTCGCATCACATCCCCCACTGTTGTTCCCAGCACCACTGTCCTCACCACCACTGTCCCCACTGGGTCCACCACCGTCCCTATTGTCCCCACCAATGCCCCCACCACTGTCGCACTGTCCCCACTGTTCCACAACTGTTCCCACCACGGTTCCACTCTCCCCACTGTCTCCACGGACCCAACCACTGCCTATCCCCATTGTCCCCACTGTCCCACTGACTCCTCCGCTGTCCCACTGAGCTGTCCCACTGTTTCCACCACTGTCCCCACTGTCCCCACCACTGTCCCCACTGTACCTCTGTCCCATTGTCCCACCGCCGTCCTCGCCACCGCCTTTACCACTGTCCCCACCACCATTGTACCCTCCACTATCCCACTGTTTCCACCTCATTCCCACTGTCCTCACCACCACTGTCCCCACCACCACCGTCCCCACCACTGTCCACTGTCCCCCCTGTTCCCACCATTGTCCCCACCACTGTCCCCACCACTACCGGCCCTCTACTGTCCCACTGTCCCACTGTCCCCACCACTGTCCCGCTGTCCCCTCACCACTGTCCCCACCAACACCGTCCCCACCGCTGTCCGCACCCCCACTCGGTTTTCGAGGGGGGGGGGGGAGGGTTCGAACCGGTAGTGACCCCCCCCCCTTTTCATGATGAACTGGGGGGGGGGAGGGGTTCGAACCGGTAGTGACCCCCCCCGGTTTTCCGGAGGGGGGGGGGGGGAGGGGTTCGAACCGGTAGTGACCCCCCCCGGTTTTCCGCCAGCAGTGGTAGAACACGCTCTTTCGGTGGTGATGATGCTGATGATGATGATGCTGATAATGATGATGATGACGATGGTGATGATGATGATGATAATGATGCTGATGATGCTGATGATGCTGATGATGCTGATGATGATGCTGATGATGATGCTGATGATGCTGATGATGATGATGATGAGGATGAGGATGCGGATGCGGATGAGGATGAGGATGATGATGATCATGAGCATGAGCATGAGGATGATGCTGATGCTGATGATGCTGATGATGCTGATGATGCTGATGCTGATGCTGATGATGATGGTTATGGTGATGATGATGATGATGATGATGATGATGATGATGATGATGATGATTATGATGATGATGATGATGATGATGATAATGATCATCATGATGATGATTAGGATGATAATCATGATGCGGATGATGAGGATGATGAGGATGATAATGATGATGATGATGATGGTGATGATGATGGTGGTGGTGGTGACGATGATGTCGTGATGATGATGATGCTGATGCTGATGCTGATTATGATGATGATGATGGTGATGATGATGACGATTGACGATGAGGATGACGATGATGATGATGATGATGATGATGATGATGACGATGATGATGATGATGATGATGATGGTGGTGGTGGTGATGATGATGATGTTGAGGATGTTGTTGATGATGATGATGATGATGATGATGATGCTGTTGATGTTGATGATGATGATGCTGATGATGATGGTGCTGATGATGGTGATGATGATGGTGATGATGATGATGGTGATGATGGTGGTGATGATGATGGTGGTGGTGATGGTGATGGTGATGACCATAATGACGATGATGATGATGAGGATGATGATGAGGACGACGACGATGATGATGATGATGGTGATGATGATGGTTGTGGTGGTGGTGGTGGTGGTGGTGATGATGATGATGATTCTGATGATGGTGATGATGGTGGTCGTGATGATGGTGGTGATGATGATGCTGCTGCTGCAGCTGATGATGATGATGATGAAGATGATGATGATGATGATGATGATGATGATGATGATGATGTGATGATGATGATGAGATGATGATGATGCTGACGGTGACGATGATGATGATGCTGATGAGCTGATGATGATGATGATGGTGGTGGTGGTGGTGGTGATGATGATGATGATGCTGATGATGATGATTCTGATGATGATGCTGATGATGATGATGATGATGCTGATGCTGATGATGATGATGATGGTGGTGGTGGTGGTGGTGGTGGTGGTGATGATGATGGTGGTGGTGGTGGTGGTGATGGTGGTGATGATGATGATGATGGTTATGGTGATGATGATGATGATGATGATGATGATGATGATGATGATGATGATGATGATGATGGTGGTGGTGGTGGTGGTGGTGGTGATGGTGATGATGATGAAGATGATGATGATGATGATGGTGATGATGATGATGATGATGATGATGATGATGATGATGGAGGAGGAGGAGGAGGATCAGGAGGAGGAGGAGGAGGAGTTGGAGGAGGAGGAGGACCCTCCTGCGGGCCCAGCTCCTCGAACTCCTCCTTCGAAAGGCTTTTCACGAGCATCTCGCAGGGGCCCTTCACGTACTTGGCCTCCTTGACGCCCTCTTCGACCACCGCTCCTGGGAGCGCCTCGAGCTTCGGGAAGGGCGGGACGTCCCCCAGCTTGTCCACACCACCTGCCTCCAACGTGTTGGCGTGCAGCACCCTCACCACGACGTCCTCGCGAAGGCGCCAGGCTGCAACCCTCGCCTCGCGGGCGGCGGCAACCTTGTATAACGCGTCCAGGTTGAGCTGCTTGACCTTCTGCAACTTCTCCAGGTACAGGTCGCTGTCCACGAGCTGCGCAAGGCTCGGGTGCGGCTCGATCTGCTTCACCTTGTCCCTATCCTCGTACTCCAGCTCCGCTGGCTGCAAGGACGGTTCGAACTTCTCCAGGTATTCGGCGCCTACTGCGCGGCGGTTGGGGACGGCTCGATCTTCTCTTGTCGCTATCCTCGAATTCCATGTCACATGGCTGCAGGGACGGCTGGATCTGCTCGTCGTGGCTCGTGTAGCTGTCGCAATCGCTCGCCAAGTCGAACCACTTGGTGACGTGACTGCCGACGTACTTCAGTCCAATCAGTCCAATACGGGCGGAGGCGGCGGCGAACGAGAGCGGCGCCTCCGGCGGCGCTCCCGCTCGTGCTTCCTGTCTCCGCCTTTCTTCTGCTTCTTCTCTTTTTGCCCCTTCTTCTCCTTCTTCTCCTTGTGGTTCTGCTGCTTCTCCCTGCTCTCGCAGAACGGGTTCGCGCCCAGCCAACCCTCTGGCATGACGACCGGCTTCGGGCGGACGGAGACCACGCTGTCCTCCGGCGACCTGCAATCCCTTCCCGAGGACCTCGTCGGCGGTGGGGACGCGATGCGCCACGTCCCAGGCGGTGGCGACGGAGGCGCCGCCTTGCTGGTCACCGCAGGCTGCGGGGAGCCGTCCTCCA